ACTGGTCGTAGGGGAAGGCTTGGTAGGCTGGTTGACATACGCAACGTAGCGATCGCCAGCTTTTAGGACATATTATAATTATCAAACCAATGTATGCTGTGACGGCTGTCATGAATCTCCTACCGAAACCTGCCAAGGGCTGTTAAGGATGTGAATACTGTGCTGTCGACTTATTCTTGCCTGCAGTGCTGTAGTCCTGACATTACTATCATGTGATGCGCTCAATATTACTTTCTTTATTATTTGTAGCTTGAAACGCAGTTGCATGCGATAATTAATAAGTCTGTACCATTGCTATGAACTGGTTAGAACAACATTGTTATTTCTATGATAAAGATGGTGAGGTTGAGTCACCAAAAATGTTTTCTTTGCTCAGGATTATTCATGCAATTACTGGTGATCTCTGCTATCACCGTTCTGGTGCAGCAACATTCTCACCGTTGATAGTTCTTTGGCGCTGTTAAAACAGTTGTTACCAGCCATTCATAAATTTTAAGCTGTTATCTTATAGGCTTGACATAGAGCAGTCAACCAATGTGATACATTCTGTATGGCACGGGTCAACAGTGTCATTGTGGCACTACCTCGGCGGCGTAGCGTAAAGAACAATGATATGGTTTTGTACTGCAATCCCTGCTGCGTTCATAATAAATTCCATCAGGAAAAGATGGGCCAAGCATAGATTCTTGTATTAACTCCGCATCTGACATGTGACTGACCCAAAACACATGATACAATATACAAATCACTTTTAGCAAGGCACACAGCCATTAGGTGACATCACGTGCTCAGCCTGTTTTGGAAATCCACAAAACCTGGGTGACAAAGATACAAACACATCTTCTGCTTCCATAGCCATGCAACATGCTGCAGCCACCAGGCTGCTTCACTAGAAATATGTTGTTCACAAGTAATAACGCGTGTGTAACAAGATAATATTGCATGTAAAGTGACACTGCAAACCTGCTGACCTCACACAATGCCAGAAACATGACAAGTGCCTGCAGTTATGGTTAGATCAGCGAAATGCAAGGAAGTAGTGGAGCTGCTGATGCACACAAGGCTCGTGATGAAAAATATTCTTAAGTGCTATCCAAGAAACCAACAGCAACACTTTTCCACCTTTCTCAGCACTCAGCATCTCACAAGTTGCAGTGATTATGACACTGTTGGCTCACAAGCATTGTTTGCCCGCACACAAAATTCAGAATTCTTGAGGGAAGACAGTTTTGCAAATCTGCATCATGTGAGCTTATTCCTAATGAGCCACGCAGGCCAGCCTCTACAGCCAAAATGAAGTGCTAATATAATGGCATGCAATGGCTTAATTACATGTTGTAATGCTTTAATAGGTTCAAAATGTTGGCACAATCATAATGAAGTAGCAAATTGCCTTTGCACACCATTGCAACATAGGTGTTAGTATTTGTTTTAGTTTACGGGCATCAAAACCTTGTTCTGTTCAAACAGGAAGCTAAAGATAGAGGCAGGTATCAACATATCACATCTTGCCTGTGAGCCAGCAAACTTAAAGAATACTGAAACAATGCTCTCTCTCAGAAGTACAAAGCCTTGCAGGCACACTCCTCATCACATCAAGGTCAATACAAGCCACTGGCACGCACCACCAGTGATCACAACCCATTTCAAGTCCCTGATTCACGCTCTTTTGTAAAATAAGCGTGATTCCACACTTGCACAGCTCGCGGGACTATGAAGTTGCGGGTTTTCTTACAATTCCAGCACAGGTTTCCGGTTATAACACCGCATTTTACCGTGAGCTCGCCTCCAAACAGTCCAACGGGGGTTTATGGTAATGCATATTAAGAGGTGTACTTGAGGGTGACACAACTGTGTTGTCCAAGATTAAATTTATTGTGGCAATATGTGTTAAAGTATTGTAGCTATATACGAACACACACACACACACACACACACACACACACCACACACACACACACACACACACCACACACACACACACACACACACAACACACATATATATATATATATATATATATATATATATATATATATATATATATATATATATATATATATATATATAATTACTATAATGTTACCCTAATTTTATAATGCCTAGCAAACTCATAAACCCGTGCAAGATTCTTTGCTCCGGTGCACACGGCGCCAGCCGAGCTGTCCGTAAGCAATACGTGAGAAAAAGAAGAAACGCCAGCGGGAGAAAAGACAAAGTTGCCGTTGCGTCTTCTTTTAGAAAAACGTTCGAGACAGCGCCATTCTTTTTCGGTGTCGTATTTTTTCCAAGCAATGACGTTCTTTTTCATAACTTTGGCCCCATAGCCTAGATATAAGGAAAAACGCCGCCTTATCGGGGAGTGCCCGCACGACCCGAAAGTGCTCACCCTTACGTTCGCGACACGCATTCAGCAACGAAATCTTACTAACAGCCACTCACCTTCGCGGACTGTATCGCATGCGCCGCATCATCGCTTTTGCGAATGTATCAGCGGCCATGCTGTTTTTGACCATAAGCAGAAAACAGCCTGTAATATCACAGCGATCGTATGACGTTTCTATGACATCATCATTGCGAAGGTGGCTTAGAAATAGTCCCTCAATAAACATTTTGCCACTTTTGCGGGCGTGTAACTCAGGAACCAGAGGGCTTTGGTTCTTAACACGGGCTCGGGTGGGGAGGGGGGGAGGGGGGTAAATTGATCCGCCCCGAAGGTTTTTCCAGAATGGTTTTCGAACGGTGTGGTGCAGGCCTCGCCAATTTTGCATAGCTGTAGAAAATTGAATAGCTGATCTTTTGGCATCAACAATTTAGATGTACCCTGTAAGGTCACTGACCTATGGCACGTCAAATTCAGGCCATGGTTTCAGCGAAGTCAATTTCTGGGGAATCATTCAATCTGATACAACCACGGAGTGTCGGACGAGGCCATTCCTCTCTGAGGTGCTTTCTTAGGCAACGCAAATATTGAATGAGCAAATTACGTTGACCTAAGGTCAAGTATAATGGTCAGATCATAGTTAAAAACCAACCTGTTTTATTGCTCTAGGGCTTGCTGTATGTAAAAGTTTCTGGCGCTCATTTGGAATTTATTGATAGCGGGAACCGCATTACACATCTTCCATGGACTTCTTAGAGGTCAGAACAGGTCAGTGATCTGAAATGACCTAGGTCAAAATTTTTTTCAGGAGCATACTGCCTTGCATAATCTTTGTTGCTTATTCAAATGCAAAACCCAGAGCAGTCTGGTCTGATTTTGGTCACCATGACCTTCAAAAGGTAAAACAATGTCACTGACCTTAACTGAGCATGTGACCTTTTGCTCAGAAACAGTCATCTAGGTTATGGGATGCTTCGAAGACCAACCTGGAATTCGACTCTTTGACCCTATTTAACCCAAAGGTCATAACCTAAGAACCTAAAATTTTGACCTAAGTGAGTTCATGCACAGGTCACCATACCCTGTAAATTTGGTATCTCCAGCTCTCTTATTTTCCGAGATCTCAGTGGGTCAAACTGACCTCCTCCCGAGCGAATTGTATCTAGCCGGGCCACCCGGGCGCGTCTTAAAAGGGAATGGCTGTGAACTGCTTCAAAATGTCCTCATCAAATGGCTTTTCAGTTCAAAACCTCATATAAATGTGGAACACTCCCTGTAATCAAAGAAGCCACGAGACAGAAACAAACAAAAGAAATGCCTGTGTACTACAGAAATGGCCCCACGCCAGTGTACATACATCGGCCACAGTGGAGTCCCACAGCGAGGCGACCAGGCATTTGTCTGTCCGCGCCCGCTACCCAGGTACACCGGACCGTCTCTCGGGGCCACCCTGGCCGCTGCCACCTCCGGTCTGCCCCGGCGCGCGCGGCCAGAGATGGGCCGCGCGTAGGCCCGCCACCCGCCAACGCCCCTGCAGCGCGAGATGGTGAGATGAAAGTTCGGCACAGCGGCGCGGCGGCCGCAGCTCACCGTGTAGGAGTGCCGCTTCAAACTCCGGCACTCGGTCTGCGGGTCGTTAATTATTGGTAAAAGCCTTGTGCCTTCATATTTCACACCAGGAAGCCAGTTCACAAGGCGCAATACAGACTGCGGTTGTTCGTAAATCTTACCCTGCAGCCGTTTACCCATGTAAAGCGCTCATTACCGGATGGTGTTCGTTGCAGTGCGCATCATCATGGGTCACGTCGGTGAAGCAGATACGTTTTTCCGGTAACCAATCCACAAGTGATGTAGCTTGTGCATGCACTTTGTTGGATGGGATTCAGAAGGAATGATCTGAAGTCGTAATTGTGATTGCTTTATTGCAAGTGTCGGGTGAGCGCCGACGCTCAAACCTTTCTCAAAAGGTCCGCGTGAAGCCAAACCTATGTTTGCAATTAATTCCCGTCACATTGCCTTCAATGCGATGCTACAAGTCAGAGGGCGCAGGGTGCTCAGACAAAAGTGTTCACGTAACAAACAGCGAACCTGTCACGGACCTCAAACAGCCAGCGAAGTCGCAGCCCCTCGCTGACGCCGTGTCCATGGTCCTCGTCGGCACTCGCTTTCCTCCAAGGCCATCAACAATAGGTACAGCCAAACAGCAACACAGCGGCGTTCTTTCTATTGTGCGCACTTGTTCCGTGTGCCGGACCATTTGTGCTCCCCCGGCTTGCTTAATTAGTCAGTGGATGCCGAGCGCCCCGATCGACCGCTCCTCCGGACAGCTATCGGCGCATCCAGCGACTGTCCGGCGGCACTTCGGCGGGCCCCAGCTCCACTGGACTTCCCATCACCTGTCCCCCGGACCGGGTGCACGCACACACGGCCGAATCCGAATCAGACTCACTGGCGTTGAGGAGTGGGGCGTGAACGTTGTAAGACGAGTCAGACTCACCGGCGTCGACAAGTGAGGCGTGACCCGTGTAAGACGAGTCAGACGCTCGACTGATGGTGCTAGCAGGTCCTCCGCTAGGTGGCTCCGGTTTACAGTTGTCCGATGCGCCTCTTTGATCTGATTTTCCAAGTGCCTTACGGTTTTGCTGGGGTCGAGTTGATCGATTAATCCCAAAACGTTTTTCACCGCTAATGAACTCATATTGCGAACGCATCGTTAGCGCCAGTGAATGGTGTTCTTACTAAGGAGTTTGTCAGGGGCCAGCAACAATCCCGCACATCAGCCTCCGGCTATTACGAACACAGTGCATTTGCTCACATCGAGCTTTGGATGGCTTGTGGTCTGACGGGGGGAGGGGGGGGGTGGGTCTACCCGCTCTAGCTATTCCCACACTACACTTCTGAATTTACGTCGACCCATTAAAATCTGCACACTCGTTAGAAATGTTGCCGCAGTTGGGATATGGTTTTCAAAGACCGCAATACCAAGAGTGCACGGCAAAACCGTGCATCATCATTGGATGATTAATTCATGCTTAGGAATTGTGGCTTCTGAGTAGAACATAGTGTGGCATGCATCATGATGTTTTGCGAAGATCTCGTTTGTGTCACGTAAGATATATTATAATGGCATAATCCAGACCACACAAGACGTGCTGATAGCATGCGATGAGCCAACGCAGGTTGCTAATACGCTCCCGGAATCGAAATCTGGACGCCAATGCGCCGTGCCTGTGGTAACGTGATATGATGGTCGAACGCGCCGACCGCGCGTGTTTGTTTTCAGTGGCGTGCCGTCGGCTTGTGTTTCAGACACGCGGGTGCGTTCCTGCGGCGCCAGCCGCGGGCCCGGAGCCGCTCCAGCTGACATGGCCCAGCGCCTGCCGCTGCTGCTGGCCGTGCTGCTGGGCGCCGCAGCCAGCGGCCAGCACTCGGTGCTGCTGGACGGGGACCTGATGCTGGGCGGCCTGTTCCCCGTGCACGAGAAGGGCGAAGGGACCCCGTGCAGCGCCACGCTGTACAACCGCGGCCTACAGCGGCTCGAGGCCATGCTGTTCGCCGTCGACCAGATCAACGGCGACCCCGAGCTGCTGCCGCACATCAGCATCGGCGTCAACATCCTCGACACCTGCAGCACGGACACATACGCGCTCAACCAGTCGCTCGAGTACATCAAGGCGTCCATGGACGTAATGGACACGATGGCGTTCGAATGCGACGACGGGTCGACGCCGCGGCCCAAGTACCGCACCAAGGCCGTCAGCGGCGTCATCGGCGGCTCCTACAGCACCATCTCCATTAACGCGGCGAACCTGTTCCGGCTATTTCGCATCCCGCAGATCTCGCCGGCTTCCACCGCCCAGGTACTCAGCGACAAGTCGCGCTTCGAGTTCTTCGCGCGCACCGTGCCGCCGGACACGTTCCAGGCGACGGCGCTGGTGGACATGGTGCAGCTGTTCAACTGGTCGTACGTCAGCTCTGTGGCGTCGGAGGGCTCGTACGGCGAGAGCGGCATGGACGCCTTCCACCGGCAGGCGGCCGAGCGCAACATCTGCGTGGCCGTGGCCGAGAAGGTTCCGCGCGACGCCACCGCCAAGACGTTCGAGACCATCGTGATGAACCTGCGTAAGAAGCCGATGGCGCGAGGCGTCATCCTCTTCGTCCGCGCCGAGGACGCCAGGTCAGATATCACAGATTCTCGGTATAAGACAGAAGTGTTATGTCATGATAAAGCGTGGTGAATGCTGGGGATGGGATGCTAGGAGCGTGGGTCAAAATCACCGAGATGAGGGGGCAGTAATTTTAGCATACGGTTACAACACACACGCACGCACGTACCTACGAGCATGCACACCATGCTCTTAGTAGGAGTCTCAAAATGTAAACCAAGCAAATGATGATCATCACTTTTCGGTTATATATTTATGTATATATATATGTATATATACATATATATATATATATATATATATATATATCAATTACATCTCGTTATACCAGACTGGAGCTGTATTGACTCTTCATTGCTCTGAACTCATATTGCAACACATCCCGGCTAATGTCGTTAAGACTTCAGTGATTTGTGCTGTAGGTAAGCTGTGTCGATCTCGTAAATAGAACATTTCGGTCAGCACGTGCGACAACTGATGATATGCACTGATGTAGTTAAGAAATGTGTTTAGCGACCTCAATCAACACTCGCTTGTTTCGAGGTGCGACTAATGATGATAATGAAAACGCCAGTTCTGCTATATGCGGCTTGCTTCGATTCCTCCAGGAGCTTTGCAGGTCCGTTGCCATTGTGTCTGACCACACCATGGCAACCTCGGAAGGCTAAGGCATTTATGATTGAATTTTAAATAGTCACTCATGTTTTTGCGACAGGCAGGCAACCCCGATCAGTTAACGCGGCAGCGCGATGGAACGCTGGCAATAGCCGCGCTTTGTCCAGGGACAGCCTCACTTATGCGTCCAATCTAAAAGATGTCGGCTCAGAGTTTAAGACAATCTCGTGGATTTCCATCCGTGGGTTGGCATTTCCAATATTGAACTTCCTTACCACCATCCATTTGTTTCTCGCTTTATCTCTGCTAACTTCCTCTGATGTGGGGCTTTGGTGCGCGAGAAAACAATTTCATTTTGGACCAGAGCGTTCCCCTCCGCATATGCATTTTTGGGAGCGACGAAATAGGCTGCGCTTAAACTTAGAGGCGGCTTGAAAAACAGTGCAACAAATGACAGACTTACAAGGTTGCTGTTTAGTAAGGGAAAACAGTACATTGGAAAACAAATGGATAAAACGGTTCTGACTCCAACACTCAAATAACTTAAAAGGAGGCTGAGTCGCAAATCGTGCTACAACTAGATTTGGCAGTCATATTGTTGCAACCCACACCACCATGCTTTTACTCACTAAGCTCATCTTAACGCATGCGTGTACTGCTGAGCTCTCAGAAATTCCCGGACAACTTTTCACATTTCTTACACTGACTTTCCGACTTACTGACTTACACAACTTTCACGTTTCTGACATGTTTTGTGCACATCTCGCAACAAAACACCGCAATGTCGTCTGCCCAAACTTACCCGAGGTACTCTTTTTTTAAAGATTTGATCCGAACCCTTTGAATGGATGGATTTCCGGGATCAGAGCTCACGCTAAGCAGTGCTTGTTGTGCGAACCCTGACCCCTACCATCCGATCGCGCAATTCCATGTCAACGGTAGAATTTGGTGGCGAAAGCTTAACGTGCCGCAATGCTGGGCACGGTGCGTCCTGCCCTCTGACGTCAACTGACCTTTAGCGCGACCGCTGCCACCAGCAGCAGCCCATACCTGTCAAGGGCAAATAGCGAGCGCCGTAAAGCGACTCGAACCCACCCCGCCACGGGTGGGTGCATCGGAAGGCAAGCGCTCTAACCAACTGAGTCACCTGGACGGACTCCGCGCTCTATGTTAATCATTACATGAATGGGTGATTTGGATCACTTGATTAGCCCTGCAGGTGGCTTTCCTCGCTGTCGTTAGACCGTGTTGTCTCCTCACTGTCGTTAGACCGTGTTGTCTCCTCACTGTCGTTAGATCGTGTTGTCTCCTCACTGTCGTTAGACCGTGTTGTCTCCTCGCTGTCGTTAGATCGTGTTGTCTCCTCGCTGCCGTTAGCTCGTGTTGTCTACTCACTGTCGTTAGATCGTGTTGTCTCCTCGCTGCCGTTAGCTCGTGTTGTCTCCTCACTGTCGTTAGATCGTGTTGTCTCCTCACTGTCGTTAGACCGTGTTGTCTCCTCGCTGTCGTTAGATCGTGTTGTCTCCTCGCTGCCGTTAGCTCGTGTTGTCTCCTCGCGCCTCACGTACAGTGACGTGAGGCCAGCGCGGGAGTTCCGGGGCAGTCGAGCACGTACTTGAGAGCAGAGACTGGCCGTCCAGGCCCCGGCCGCCGCGGCACCGCCACTGCGACCAGTTACCCCGACGGACGAAAGCGTGGCTAGCGTTTTTGCCGTTTGATGCTCTGTATTTTGGCTGCAAATCACAGCATTGTGCAGCCATGTCGCATTTAGATGATATCGCTCATCTTACAAGAGCTAAAAAGTGAACCTCACGTCAGGCAATCGAACCTCGGACATTTGGAAGTCATATCCAAACACAGCATCAATTAAGCTGATAGAAGCTCGACATTTCAGCGCCTTACTGCTAGTATAGTGGTTTCCATGCTCATGGCGGCACTCATTGCATGTTACAGATAGTGCTCGCCGCCGGTGTTGGTTATTGTTGAGCTGCAAGATGAATAACATGGTTTACACGCAACATGGCCGCACAAGGTGGCAATCCACAGCTGGGCAGTAGAACAAAACGGCAAATACATTTGTTCTTGGCCATAAATCCGCAATGGCTTATTAGTGGTGTTTATATTTCATATTAGTGGTGTTCATATTTTGCTTGACATCGGTATCTTAGCTGAAGTAGCTTGCGTGATTTCTAGCCACTGAAGCCACCGATCAAAAGAAAATCCGGAGATGATATTGTACTACAACCGAAACGATGGCGAATTTGAGGGCATCAGCTCAGTGATGGAGAGCTTCGCTTGTGGAATGTTGACGCGGAGGTGGCCAGCAGCTGTTTTTCCACCAACCTTGGACGTTGTCGAGCTCAAAGCCTGACTGCTCATCAGTCGCGCTCCTGAATGTCAGTCCAGCGACCACAAACCCGGATCAAAGAAGATTTTCTTCCGGCCCCTGGCCTCCGCGTGATCAGGCAGCAGATCTCGGTCCGGTCGTCGGCGGGCCTGGTGTCCGGACCAGGACCGCAGCGGAGACCGTGCTGAAAACGCAGCTTCAGATCGCTGACGCTTCGCGGTAGGAGTCCATCACCATGCGTGTCCGCCAAGCAGCACTGCCGCCTGTGAAAAAAAAATGTTGTGTGCACCAAGCACAGTGAAAGCTCCAGCGTCGTTTGCGCGATGCACGGTGCCGCAGCTGAATGGAGCAGGTCCGTAAGAGTGAGAGTGCAGGGCCGTGCTTGATCCGGGGGCCAGATATTCAAAGCAGAATGTTGACCCAGGGCACTTTTATCAGTAGCCTTACCTGACTTGTATAAAGACAACTAAAGAAAAGTGTTAACTTACCTGTGGTCAACTAACTCGGAATGAGCGTACTCGTTACTTTAGCAATCACAAGATGTTTCAAGGTTCGAGCGATTTCCAATTCTTAGGTGGGGATAGCTTACTGATAGTTTGCTATTCTTTACGTATCAACCCCAATGGGACTTGTCCAGGAACATGGAAAGATGTCATTAATTTCAGCTTTGTCGTCGAAACATTGTGCTAGGTTTACTGGTATCGGCAATGGAGTACCGGAAAGAAAATACCTATATGAATGCAGGCTGACGCTTGATTATTTGGGCAACATTAAGTGAATGGTCGTCAAAAATGTAGCCCATGCAATGCTACCTGGCCAGCCAGTCAGATTGGTAATTGTGTGGTTTACATTATGTTGTCCCTGTTTCAAGGCACATTGTTAACAATCGCCCATGGCGCGTTATGCCACCTGTATAAATGGTAGGTAATGACTTGGAACCTCTCTCTCAAACTGCTGCCAGTTTTTTTTTGCTAGCGGGCACTTTTGTGGAATAATCCACCAGGTGATATATTGATTGCAATGCTACGGAATAACTTCCATCACCCATTATATAAACCAAATTATCTGTAGATTTAAAGCTCCAGTTTATCGACTAGGGTTCTTTATGGGGTGCTAGAACCTACTTTTATTAATAAGGCTTTATAAAACTAGGGCCTGGAGGTGTTTGTGATTGCAGTATGTCGGTATAGTTGTTAAAGTTCTGGTATATATATATATATATATATATGTATATATATATATATATATATATATATATATATATATATATATATGCATACATATGCTTTGTGATGCCTCATTCATGCAGCTGATGTTGTTAATGCGACTATATGCATCTTATTTCTATAATGGGCACACACACACACACACACACACACACAACACACACACACACACACACATATATATATATATATATATATATATATATATATATATATATATATATATATATATATATATATATATATGTCTACCCATACATGTACGGTGTTATGATCGCAATTTCTGCAATAGGTTGCGAACTTTCAACACTTTTCAGTCCGTTAAATTCGTATGGCCTGGCAAGTGCTGAAGTCCCGTCCAGTATTAATCCGTTAGTTTGCCCAAATTTTTGATCCGGTCCAATCCGTCATGTCTGGATTGATCTAATACGTTAAGTGCTGGAAGGTTCATGCGTGTTATGTGAGAAAAATACTTAATTTATAGGGCATGGTAGCGTTACGGTAGCCAATAACATTTTCTAACTAGCTTCCCTTTCCCCCCCCCTACCCAACCCCAAATGGGTCCTTGACTTTGCCTATGCCAACCCTTTCTGCAGTATTTCTTATCACCCCCGTTTTGCATCCCATGGATACGTCGCTGAACGTTTAAGTTTAAAATTTCGCCACAAACATCAATGTCAAATGATTGCCCATTGATCTGCCTTGGGTGCTCGAAATCGGTTGAAACACGTGACAATTTTGGCTGGTCAAAGCTAGTTTAGTTGTGGAGGGGAATATCACCTGTTGTCGTCCAAATGAAACTCTTGGAATTTCGTTCGTTAAA